GGTCTTCAACTGCTACTGCGGGGATGTCATCGGCTGGACCCCAGATGCCGCGACACTCAAAATCTTCTACGGGCGCGGGGACCACATCTTCCTACAGGTCACGGAGGGCTCTGTGGAGGACATAAGGGAAATCGTCCAGAGACTGAAGGTAAGGGAGAGAGCTCAGTGATAGTGTGGCAGTTCGTACAGATTGGCAGAGGCCTTAGGAACCACGGAAATACCTCCCCAACCTGGTCAGTTGGCCTAAAACACTAATTGGCCCCACAAGAATCAGAACTGTCACTTACACGCTATGGGTCTGGTGGGTCCCGCAGCCTGGGTTCTTTCTGGGGAAGGTTTGGTCAGGGATCTGAGGCTGTCCAGGTCTTCACCTTCGGAAAAGACTCTAACACTAGATAGTGATAGAAAATCTGAGTCTAAACTGAGGTTACAGGTGAGTGTGCTGGATGGACAAGCTGTGGCACACACAGACAATGGAACACTATTCAGCCTTAAGGAGAAATGAAGTTCTAATATATGCTGCCCCATGGATGAACTTTGCAAACATTATGCTTAGTGAAGTAAATCAGACACAAACAGACAAATACTGTATGGTCCATATATGTGAACTATCTAGAATAGGAAAATGGAGAGACAAAAGTAGACCAGTGATTATCAGGTACTGGGAGTTTAAAAAAAAAAAAAAAAAAGTAAGACAAATTAAAATAGAATGAAAAGCTTCCAGACCAGTGAAGAATAGGGCAGAGTTAGGGGAGGAATAAATATAAGCATGATAAAAGTAACAAAACATAAAATTCGATGGCAGGAATAAAGTTCCACGTTAGTAATTACAACAAATGTGAATGGCTTAACTTCCCCTATTAAAGACAAAGACCCACAGTTTAGATAAAAATCTTATTCTAAACCACCGGTGGACAGTTCAGGCTCAGGCTGTTGGCCAGACCAAGGGTGGCAGATGGGTTTCAGGACAGACGGCAACTCAGTCGGTAATGGCTGCCTGAAGCATCAAGCTGAGAAGTGCTCAGGCCCATGTGAACTCCACGAGAAGGAATGCTGTGGTCAGTGATTGACTATGCAGTAAATTCAGCGGAGTGGTGTGTCACGTGCATGCCGAATACAGAGGCAGTATAACATGGTAGTTAAACCACAGGTTTCAGAGTCAGAAGGCCTGGCATCAACTCCAGCTCTGCCACTTACCAACTGTGTGACCTTGAGCAAGTTATTTAACCTCCGTGTGACTCCATTTTCCCATCCGAATAATGGGAACGATAATCGTCCCACCTCCTGTGAATGTTTTGAGGATTGGGTGAGTTACGTTGCCCAGTCAAGCTAGCCTGACTTGGTGGGCTGAGAACTCGAGGTGCCACCATAGCTGGTGGGCATCCCTGACCTTCTAGGCCATCACAGTGTCTCTTCAAGTTTAGGTTGGGTTGGTAAAGCATGCCCTCAGTTTCCCTGAC